CAAACTAAATAACTGGGCATATGTGAACAGATATCAAAGTCACTTGGTCTTACTTCAAGTAACCTATTGACTTTTGTAAAATTTCTAGGAACAGTAGTAGTACCTTGGCTTTGATTTTCCCGGCATTCCCTTTGTGGATGACTTTCTCGCATGCTGCCGGCACCAGAATATCACATTGCTCGTACATGAGGTCTGTGTGTGGCTCGTAAGCTTTGGCTTTTGGATATCCCTGCAATGCTCAGTTCATACCAAATGCTTCAAATCATCAAAATTAATGCTTGTTCGGCCTTAGTTCTGACAAATACACATCTACAATAATGAATTTTTGAGTGGTACCTTAATAGTACCATGCTCGATGAGATAATCCTCAAGTTCGCGTGGATGGATACCGTCCGGATTGTAGATCGAACAATCCAACTCCTGCACACCAATACATTTGGCTCCCGATCGGTGGAAATAACGAGTCGTGTGTAAGCCTACATTCCCGAATCCCTGCAATACGCTACTTTGTTAATGCTTCTGCTTCCATCATAACTTATCGTTGAAACACTAACAACCAGCATGATGCTTTTGAGCTTTTCGGGTCTGTCGCGCCAATTAAATTTAGAACGTTAGCGAGGTCTGGAACATCGGAAGATGCACCAGAAACGGGCGCTCTTCTGTTTTCAGATTACAAATCACGGCTCTGTGCTGCTAGCATACCTTGTTGTGTCCTTCAGTTTTGGCGATTTTTTTTAAAAATTACTCTGCTCTCTGTTCAAATTTTCTTTCTTACTTCATCAGTTTTGACGTCCCCTTACAGAAACAGTGGTCAACTTTTCGTTCTAGATAAGCCGTTGCTAAAGATGTTGCGAAAATTTAAAATAATTTTTACCTGTACGATGAATGTTTTTCCTTGGAATCCTGGTGACATCCCAATTTTCGACATGTACTCGTCATTGTTTAGAAACACTTCCAATCCCTTCCACACTCCTCGTCCAGTGGCCGATGTTCGTCCATGAATACCTGAGCAGGTTCAACAATTGATCGCTTTTCGCTGGGCAGAGCATTGCTCACAAAATTATACCGAAATGCGATCAGACTTATGCTTCGGGTAATTATTAAAACTCAGCTCCTTTCACTAAACGTTGAGTAATGCTCCCCGAGCTCTAAGTAACTTCCCCTAAGCGCAAAATAAAATAGTTTTGGTAGGTGGTGGTTGGAAAATGGCGTTCCCACATACTCATATGTTCCTTCCCTCTCGGATCAAGACTGCAACAGTGGTTTTTGTTAAGAAAGCACGCATTAGGAAGCAAAAGTAACCTCCTGCGACGATCGGTTTTCCCGTGACGCAAGCAGAAGCATCGTTCTCGAGATGCCCAATCGTCTGCGCATACGTATCTGCGATCCACCCCATCTCTCGTTCGCCGGTTCCCATATCCGGCGCCGGCACGTCGACGCCGGGGCCTAAGAAGCCTTTCTTGGCAAATTCAACCGAAATGCGGCGAGTGATTTTTTCGATTTCGTATTCCGTGTACTTCTTCGGATCAATCTTCACGCCTCCTTTGGCACCGCCGAATGGCACATCAGCCACGGAGCATTTGTATGTCATCAGAGCAGACAGAGCACGCACTTCGTCCTCGCATACGTCTTCGGCGTAACGGATGCCACCTTTGGTCGGTGTACGGTGCTCACTGTGCTGCGCCCTCCAAGCTTCCACCATCTCATATTCACCATTCTCGCGTCGGATCGGGAAGGTGATGTACAGGACCTAGAAATCA